AAACCATGGGGATGGTCTCTTTGCACGAATAATATTATTTTAGTGTGGATGAATTATTGCAGACCATGATGTCAAACTATGATCATATATCATCAGTAACTTATACTGATCCCAAGAGAATAATCGCTTATACTGAAACTTTGCTAAAGTTTGCAATGACATTGCAACAATTTCATAAATGCAACACATACTATTGGTAAATCTTTGTATTCTCTAAGTGTACTAGGGCTATGACATAGTACCCTAAGCATTCGGTGCCGACACTGCACCCTGATGTCGTAAACGCAGCATATATCATTAATACATACATATTTTATAATTACAGTATGGTTATGGCACTTACCCTCTCTATACACTGGCAATGCATTTAAGTTTTCGTTCTAAGTTAGTCTGATTTTGCAATCGTTATAAACAGTAAAACATTAAGCGCTGGGACCACTACTGCGAATATACCAGTGGCTGCTAACTTTATGTTTGCACTGCTAATACCTTAAAATGGTCTCACGTACTGAAACATGGCATTCGGCGATGCTTCACCTTGATATATGGCACAACGGAGAACTGCTCTGCTAGGCTTGTGTTACGTTCAGAGTTAGTTTCTAACAGATCATGTACTGTTGCAATAGACTGGGTATGCACTGAAATATGCATAAAAACTTTTTATTTATACATAGGGCAGGCAGACGAATTGGCCAATTAGGTGATTCGTTACAGGGGCTAAGTAAACGGACTCTTCGCGGATTGGGTAAACCTTATCAGTCTCGTTACCGTAAAACTACTTAGCTGGCAACATGGACAACTTGGGCCAAAACCATACCTTTGGCTCCAAACGTCACAAGAGCTGCGGATCTTCAGAAATTAGCCCGGACCACCCTGCAGAAGACTCGTGAAAGATTAGCTAAAACGTCGGTACTGGTCAATCACTTGACTGATTTCAGTGTGATCACCAACCCACGAGCAAAACGCTCAATCTTCGGATAGCTAAGGCTATCATCATTAGGTTCTTAGAAATATTGTCTGTTCTATCGTCTGTTAAACAAAATGTTCCAAAGGTAAAAATGGCTTAATTATTATAACTTAATTATCTTTGATATTTCACTGGAATAACTTACTACATAATTACAATAGGTAAGTAAATGATTTGCATGTCTAATCTTGTAGAAAAATGTTATGATGGCTCGGACCCGTTGCGAAGTTGCTACAGCCTTCCTTGCCCCGAAAACTACGATTGCACGAACAACCAGTGTTGCAGGAAGACTTTCGCACCTCCAACGACCGGAGTGTGCCCGTCAACAGAAGGCATGACTCCCAACTACGAAAAGATCTGCCGAGATGACTACGATTGTGACCCGTACACCAAGTGCTGTTCCTTTGGGTCTGAAAAGTACTGCGTGCCGTCAGTCGATGTCAACGTCCAAGGTAAGTGATGAATCGTGTATGAACACTGCTCTGTAAATTTATGCAGCTTTGAAACACGCTTTATTGAATAGGACTTCAACCTAGGTATGGAGGGGTACTCGAAGAACTATGTTATACAAGCAACGACGGTATAATGATAGCTTTATCAAGAGATATACGAAAGAAGCCAAATTGCTATTAAATAGCTGTCAATAATTGTATTCATATAAAGCTAGAAAATGGTCTCCTGAGCATCACCATCTGCCTTTGGTCCATTGCTGATGAGGGCTTCTCTGAGGCTTTGCCGTGAGTTACCGTTTTTGTGACTGAAAATGGAGATCAGCGCCCTAACATTAACTTCATGAAAAGAAAAGTGCCTTCCACTTTCATCCGGCGATCCTCTTCAGCTCATCCTGCCATCATTCTGGGAGTCTTCGTACGGACCGACTATTGTCACAACCCAGTCATGGTCGGTTCTTCTTCTTATGGTATGTATTGCCCATTGCCTCCTGGCCACTTCTCACTCAATGACCCCGCTGACTCCTGTTGATACTCTTACCCCTTCGTTCGTCTTGCTACTTTTCTTGTTATTCTCAGCATACACTTTTCCATGCTGTGTTGCGTAGTCTGCAGTTTATGAATCGCTTGAAGGCTTAGAGCCCCGTTTCGCTTCCATTTGTTAGTATTGAGGATACACACGTAAGACCTCATATGCTTTAAACTCTAAACCTATAGTTCCATGAAATGATTGTTCTTGCAACTGTTTTGATAAAACTAATTATTTTTTAAGCCAGAGTCAGAGGAACCTGTTCAGACGGATCAGCATCGCTAATTCTCTGCGAAAATGGAAAATGTTCGGGTAAAATGGCATGCGAAAAAGGTCGTTGGTGTTGCAACGCGCGTAGTAGCGAAGACAACGAGAGTAATCAAAAACTGTGTCCCCCCGATGTCGGATTTGGGATAGCTCGTGGTCGAACCTGTCACAGTGACGACGACTGCAACCGATACATGAAGTGTTGCATGCAACGAGGTGTCAAAAGATGCACTCCTCCTCTTCGATTCGAAGGTATGGTTTGTTCAGTGTACTTTCAGACACAGTCACTTTTTACACCCAATTAGTTGTTCAACGATCGAAAGCGCTTCGATGATAGAAATATTAAAATATATTAAATATTGATGTCATTGCTGTAAAAAGAGTAGTTGAATTTTCAACCTGTGGATTGGTCATCAGGGTTGCTCAGTCAATAAAACGTCGAACTTAGAGGCCCCGGGTTCGAGTTCTGATCAGATCGCCATCTTTCACTTTTCCAACGTTGATTATTGAATACCACCGTTAAGGAAGGAAGCAGGGGACTACACGCCATACTTGCCACAATGCTGTAGATTCTGCGTTTAAGGAGGAAGTTACTCCTGGCTAATCAGATAGAAAGAGAGCTGTATCGAAAGCTTCATGAAATGAAAGCCCTCTCAAATGAAAACGTAAAAGAGATCGACATCCCTACGGTCATAAGCTTTCCTTTCTTCTCATAAATATGAAGTGTAGTGGAAATGTTCCTGAATTTCAGCTTTATCAGTTTTTCCTGTCTTATTGCTGATGAATCCGAAAAAGAAATAATTTTTATAATCATTGAATTGGGAGCTTTTCCATTCACATAAAACGTGTTCCTAGTTTTATAAGTGCTGAATATTCCACCACTTGAAACAGGCAGATAACTGGTATGGCTGGAAGACTGTACGGATAGCCTACAAAGAATACAAAGGTTTAATTAATAGCGTATATTAAACGCATCTGAGTATCAGTGGTGGAGGTAACGAAGGTTGAAGGCTGTTGGGGTTTCTTCACGTTACGGGTGGAAAAGGTTGTCACTTCTCCATTACTGCAGAATAAATGTCACCTTCAGTTGAAAAGGCTTGCGAAATGCTCATTTATCTTCTTTCTCAATTTGCTTACTTTGTTTTGTGCCACCCAGCTGGCGCAAATGGTACATATTATTGTGAGCTTCTTTATTTTGTCGATTAACATTGTCTGAACTTACTTTCAGTCCAGTGAATAATCATGATTATCTCAGAGGACTGATAGTATTATGCAGAGAATATTCCATGCTGCCTTTGAAGATTAACGAGGTGAGGCTTTTCCAGGTCTTTCCTCTATGTTCGTACTTCTTCTTCTGGCTGTGAGGAAATGACTAGCAACCTCATAGGTCAAAGTCAAGATTTCTAAGCCAGTGAATGGCGGCAGCGGTAGCATTCTGGACTTCAGTCATGCTGCTGTCGAACTTTCGCAGTGGACTTTCGGAAATAATGTGCTGCATGATCTGATCTTCATGACCGCAGTCACTTCCTCCTCCCGCGATGGAGTAGGTGACCACAGCGTTGTTATCCTCTTGGCATCCTGTTTGATCTCGACCTTACTTGGAGGTTCAAGTCCATGCCAGCTGATTCTGTGATCAGACTGGAGATTAGGTCTTTGTTATGGACAGCTGTAGCGTCCCTCTCTGCTCGCCTCCGTTCCTTGAGATTCAGACGCGGTGTCGTTGCTCGTTCCCATGGTGGGTGGCGTGATTCCAGGCGTCGTTCTGGTGGCTGTTGAAGAACACGATGGACTGGTAATTGGAGATTCCTATCAATGTTCTGGAAAACGCCATGCTCCTTCTCGCCCCTCCAGAAATGAGGAGGTTCAATATGCGCCAGAATCGGTAAGCACTGTGTTTGGGTTGGCTTCAGAGTTATGTTCGTACTCAAAGCATTCTAATTACAGATAGATTTGCCTTAAGTACATTATGATATATGTCAATTTCTGGTAATTTTTTAAAGTAGAAGTCGATGATTTGCATCT